CGGTTGCATATTTGTCATCTTTTCTGCTTCCAATTAACATAATGACTCTACAAGCTTTTATCTGAGAAAAGCCGAAGGAGTAAGTTGTATCATGCGACGGGGAAAATGCTGTCTTTCCCCTTCTGTAACTGTGCTGATTTTTTACTTTTTATTTAACCAAAAAAAATTGTGTTAAATTTTATAAAAATATTTAAAAAGACAACTGATCTCAGTATTTCCCTCATGGAACTTTGGTACGTTACAGCTAAAAATTATTGGTGGCAGCGGTGTGGATATGAAATTCACGGTAGACTGCGGACGTCAGTCCGGTTAAAGAGGACAGCTCGGCTCCTGAATACAGCTCGTCCTTAAGTTAGTGGGATATGAAATCCGTGGAAGCAGACTGGACTTCAATTCGGGTAAAAAGAACCACCAGGCTTCTGAATACAAATAAGTTGTGGGACAGTCAATTCCAGAAATCATCAGCATCTTGTTTAACCGTTCAAGTCCAAAAATATTTCAAGTAGGAAAGCACAAACATTCCGTATGCTTAAGAAGAAAACTGCCAGGATACTGAATACAGCTCATCTTTAAGTTTGGAGGATAATCAATGTTCAAACATAAACAGCATTTAGAGAGACCATTCCGCGTTCGAAAATATTTCAAGTAGGAAACTTTAAAAATTTTATCTGTTTAGGAAGTGACTACAAAAGTCTTTTAAGTTTTGGGGACCAGTGTCCGAAAATTGATGCGCTGTGAAGTGTAAGATGTTTCGTGTGATTGTGTGTCTAAGTGTCTAGACCAGTGATTGTCAAACCGTCGAACGCGAGCTACTAGTAGCTCGCGGGGACATTTTCGGTAAATCGCGTTAACTCTCCGGTTGGCTGACCTTGATTCCTCCACTGAGCTGACGCTGACGGCAACAACTGCTTATTTCTCCCGTGCAAATGCCAGTGTCAACCTCATCTCATAGTTCATTGTATACGCCTGAAGTTGTGCATGTTATGTTTTTCGGGTGTATATTAGACATTTACTAACTTGGATAGTTTTATTTACGCATTGGTACTAAACTATGTCTGTTCTAATGATGGCGTGTTCTAGCGAAAAGCAGAAAACTTATCACTTTCATTTAGAATGGGAAACCGATTACTTCTTTACCCAGGTAAAGGACAAATGTGTGTGTTTATTTTGCTATGCAAGAGCATCGGTTAGGAAGAAAAGGAACGTCAAACGTCACTTCAAAACAGTTCACGCAGAGACTAAAAAGGGTTTCACATTGAATTCTGCTCTAAAAGAGAGAGAAGGTAAGGCAGCTAAAACTAAACTTAATGCTCGACAATCAACTTTTTAAAACTCATTTAACGAGAATACAGCAGCAACAGAGGCGTTATTCTGAGATTCAAATATTATTACACAGAATAGGAAAAAACCATACGAAGATGGTGAAGTAATCAAAACTGCATTTTTAGAAGCTGCAGATACATTATTTGATAGTTTCAAAAATAAAAATGAGAAAATGTCTGCTATTAAATCTGCGCAGCTTTCTGCAAATACAGTAATGAGAATGGTTAAGGTTATGAGTTCTAATGTTACCTCATATTTTAAAATTGATTAATCGCTGCGGCTATTTCTCCCTTCTTTCTTACGATCGATTTCTTTACGAATCGACTGATATAAACGATACAACTCAATTGGCGGTTTCTGCAAGAATGGAATGGAATGGAATATTCAGTTATGGCAAAGCACACGAGGCTATCTGCCTAAAGGGAAGGATGCCTTTCGGGAGACTTTCTAGAAACTGGCTGTATACACGTTACACATGGGGAAAACCACGAAAACGCCCATGCAGCCAGCCCGTTCGCGGTATTCGAACATCAGACCGAACTACCAGTGTTCAGCGTGTTTACCGCTCGGCCGCTGGTGGGCTTCTGCAAGAATGGTTTCTGATCATTTCGAAATAGGAGAGGAGCTAGTATAGATTATATCGTTAACAGGACGACTACAGAACAGGACATACTTTTAGCAGTTAAAAATCTTAACTCTGAAAATATGCATAAGTTGGTAAGCTTAGCAACTGATGGAGATCCTGCGATGGCAGGCAAAGAGAAGGGATTTATAAACTTGTGCCATAAAGACAACAGCTTTCCGAAATTTCTGTCTTACCACTCTACACCAGGAGTCACTGTATGGAAAGTTAAGTATGAACAATGTAATGAAGATAGTTATAAAAACCTTGAACAAAGTTAGAGCACATGCAATTCAAATACATCTGGTCTGTTCAGGGCGCTGACTGATGAACTAGATTCCCAGTATGGTGATATATTGTTACATACAGAAATTCGTTTGTTGAATAGAAACGGAGGTTTACGAGTTGTTTCCTTCCTTAGGAGAATTTTTGAAAAAACGAGAGGAATCTTTCCGTGAATTAAAAGACCCGCCGCTCAACCGGTATAGTGGGTAGCGTCGCTGATTGTCGTGCCGATGGGACCGGTTTCGAATCTCGGAGAAGGCATGGATGTTTGTAAGTGTATAGTATCTGTGCGGCATGGCGGTACTCTAAATATGCGGCCAGCTGAAAGTCCTCTCGTGTTGTTTGGTTAACGGGGAGAGGGAAGGAAGACACTCGGACCCATGACAGACGCAATCTAGCGTTCCTTTTTCTTAGAGAAAAATCCCCAATTTCGGTCTAGGTTTGTGTCACTGTGAAGGTAATATAGATATTTGTGTGAGATTTCTTTTTCAGTTGTGAAATTTATTAAAAGTAATACAGAAAATTAAGACTCACTGATGAGCACTTTGACAACTGTATTTGAATGGCAGCCACTACTTACACTACAAACGTTAAAAAAATTATTGAGGATTATAAAAGAGTTCTACCCTTCTTATGAAAGTTAATAGATCTGATAACAAAATCTGTTATTACATTTGTTATTTGTTACTAATAACACTTCAATTTCTTCCTTAGGTAAATTTATTTTTTTCTTGTTATATACAGTTTAATTAAATTAATTTCACGTTTACTAGAAATGTAACTTAATAGGCAATGAATAAATTAAAGATTAAAAAAAATGTTGGTATGCAATATGTTTTCGTTGGTAGCTCACAACAGAATTTAAAAACGGTACAGTATCTCAGAAGAGTCATAAGTTTGGCGGCCACTGGTCTATACCATACGCGTTCATAAAATCCTTGTGATTAATAGATTCTTCATATTCCAAGGATCAATCAGTGCATCAAGTCTACAAAACCAGGCGGATAAGTACTTTTGAATTTTATATTGAGGCAGTGAGTTAAATTATTTTAAGCTATTTTTTATAATTAAATATATACAAGTACACATAATTTTTTTTAAGTCCATATCGTTTCTATAAAGCTTAAAGACATGTGATGCTTTGGTTTTGTGTTTCAAATTCGAACGCATAAATTTTAGAATCTGAATTTGTATTCATAGATCTTTTAATGTATGCAATATTGATGAGTTCTGCTGAATATAAGATACTGTTTTCTGTAAAGCTTAAAAGATGTGTTGTTTTGTTTTTGTGTTTCAAATAAGAAGGCATAAATTAAACATTTTTAACATAAATCTGAAATGTTGATGAGTTATGCTGAAATTAAGCTGATATAATTGAATATGTAAGACAGAAGAATTACTATATTTCTGAAGGTTCTAAATGTTAGCTGGTATTTTGATATATTATTTCTATGTCGTCTTGAATGTTTTAAATATTACAGTTTTCCTATAAAAAGTATAAAATATTAGTTTGTGTAAGAATTAAAAAGATTTTCAATTGAATGTGTTAAAGGGAAGACTAGGCATCCCCAGTATATGATGTTTTAATTGTTGTTGTATCCATGTTCAATTATGAGCATTTATACATAAATTCTTTTTAAATTTAATTTAGCTTTGATTGCATACTTTAATATATCTTGAAAATTTTCATGAAAGTATATTGTATTATCATAAGTAAATGTAAAGTATATTGTATTATCATATACATTTAAGTTTTAAAGCAACTGAATGTAAAGCATAGGTTAATGTTATTTGTATTGTCCTAAGTTCTCAAAGAGACCAATTATAAATGAAACCATAATGTGTACCTTATAATATAAATTGTCTTGAATTAGTGTTTTAGGTCAGTAGAATATTTTGTAAAAAAATTAAGGATTAAAATTTAATCCTCATAGTTGAAATTGCTATTTAACAAAATATATATGGAGAGATATAAAGTGGTTAGATATTTTTTATCATAAATTGTAGTTATACCATGGCATTCTTAGCAAAAGTTAAGAAAAAGGAGCTTAAAACCTTCGTTGAAGAGTTAAGGGAGGAGGTCGAACCTGAACTTAGGATATTGGACCTTAAGACAGCTGATTATGTCTAAGAGGAGGAACTTGGGAAAAGTCTATTGGCAAATATCACTTCATTGAGGCTTGAGAGGGGGAAAAAGGAACAGGATAGAATTAGAAGAGGAAGAAAGGAAGGATAAAATTAGGAGGAGATAAGAAGAAGAGAGGTAAGATAAAATTAGGAAAGAAGACAAGATTGAAACTGCAGGCCGCAGCTGTTTGAAAAAAAAAAATTGACAACGGATGCTCGCGGTCCGATGAAAATCCAACGTACGAGGACAGGGCGCTGGAGCTGTAACTTGCCAATATCATATTCAAAACAAATCTTTTTATAAACTAATGCTTTACTTTCGGGAAAAAGGTTTCAGCCCCTTCAAATAAATGAAGCTTTTAAATGAAGCATAATGTGTAAAAGCAACTTCTGATTAAAATTCAATCGCTATCTATGACAAAATTATCAATTATATTGTCAAAATTTCATAAGTTTATAAATGAAAAATACTGCTGTTCACTATTTTAAAATGAAATAATATTCTGTTATTTACCTTCTTCCCCTCCCCCAGAAATACCAATGCAAAATATCGACCGTGAAATTTTTAGCGCAAATTTCGGACCACTAAAGCAAATATTCACTGCCGCCTCTCGAATTAAAGCGTTTTATCCCGTGATAAAATCACTTTCCTAGTTAACATTTCCGCAATTTTCCAAATCCTTTTTCTCTGTCATGTACAGGAGAGTAACAACTAAATAATACATGTTTGTGTTTTGAATGGTGTTGGAAGATGAATCCTCTCACGTAAGTAGTTTTTGATGTTTTTCCATTAATTGTGATGTATTTTTGAGATAATGTATTTATTATCAAAAGAATGAATGTCACATCGATAAATAATGTTAGATAATGACATGCAAAATCATCATATCTGGTTGTAACGAAAGTTTTCCGCCGAAAAACTTTCTTAATAAAGTTAGATAAAAGCATAAAAGTAGTACCCTTAGTGCGAGTAGTAATCACCACCCAAATCTATGATTTTCTGTCAACGTTTTGGTAGCTTTTCAAAGGCCCGAGGCCCAGAAACTTGGTGGCCGCGACTCCAAATTCAGACTCTGTACCGCAGACACATGTGGTCTCTGCATTATCTTGATGGAACATTACCTTTTTGCGCCGGAACTCAGTTTAGCGTTCTTTCTTGATAGCAGCATCAGCATGGACTACCATCCCAATCTACACCTTACTCTTGAGGGTTTTATGTTTTTCCATATACTCTTTGTGAATAATATCATGGCAATCCCACCAGATACAAAGCATTATCTTTTTGTCAGTCAAATTGTGCTTTGTGACAGTGTCGGCAGGCTGATCATGTGTAGACCAACCCTTCTTTTTGGCTTGTGTTGTTGAAGCAAATCCACTTTTCATCACTAGTCACGATCCAGTCCAGAATTTTGTCCATATATTGATATTTGAACAGATTAGTGGAGGCCCGAACAAGTCTGTCTCTATCTGCTTGAGTCAGCTCATGTTATACCGAGCATTTGAACTTGTACGTCAAATTTATGCATTGCATAGCATGATTAATGGGCAAGACACTAACGTCTTAACTCCTTAGCAAGCTTTTAAGTGGTTGCATGCTGATCTTCCACTAGTTTTTGCAGAAGGGCCTCATCAACATCCATAGGCTGACTAAAGTACTCTGCTTCTTGAATGTCCTTGTTTTTCCACTTTTGGTAACAAACCTTTACAGTGTCATATGATATAACATAAGTACTTAATGTTTGTGCAAATGATTTGGTGATATTATGCAACTAACTTTTTACAACAAATCTGGAAGTGAATTATGGTTCTAATTTGGTAACGTGATAGTTCCATTTTAGACACCTCGTACTTAATGATGACGATATTTATATTTATGGGGAAAATATATTTCAGGGCAAAAATTGATTTTTTTGGTAAACATAATGTAATAAAACATAGTTAATACATGTTATCTAATTTTTGCAGTACAAAAAGGAAATATCAACTTAACCTTAATTAGAAGTTTCCGTGTCTTTGGTGTGTCACACGCAGAATTCCTTAATAGCATCCAAAAACTGTTTAAAATTATCTGAACTAGAATCTGTATACTCCATCGCCATATAAATTTACAAATATCCTCCGTACTGCCGGAGGCATTTTGTTCGAAAATCCCTTTTTATTACATTTGATATACCTTCCATAGTGTTAATATGAGCTCTGGTTTCCAAATCCTTAAATCTCATTGTGTAATTTACTGAGAGGTGAATGAAGATATTAAACACTTTGACGCGTGGTGGTCGCACCTTGAAACCGCTAAGTTTCAAATCTTTTTCTCCTCTTCTTTCTGAATATTTTGAGTGAAAACTGATTGATTACTGATCTTTTACCTCTGAATAGTACAAAATGACTGCAGAATCATACATTTTTTTAGGTCTTAGTACTTCAAATTGGATGCCCTTTAAAATTTGTTTTCAATGAGACAAAATAACTTCTTTTTATTAATATAAACAACTTTAAATTGAAAAAGTTATTCATTGCACATCTCTATTTCTATCACAAACAATAAAAAATAGCAACAATTAAACTGCATATATTAAAAAAAGCATATGCATATTTATGGCATTTGCTTTGTGGTTTCAGGACTCGACCACTGAGCCACTAGAGCAATGCATCACAATGCTCACATTCCTCTTGAGGCTCAGTGGTGGTCATGCCTTAAAACCACTGCTCCTAACAATAGTGTTTGCTGCTTTTCAAATAGGAATGTTTATTTTTACCCAGATGTAAAAAAGGGGCTTTAAAACCACAGAGTTATTTTATTACTAAACAATACATGCACCTGCCCAGTGAAAAGGTCTTTCTTTTCCAGAGATTTTTCTCCGACCTCAACATGCTTGCTTCCTATGCTATTATTGTGAATTTATGTTATTTAATGTGGTTTAAATATAATGTAAATATACTTGCTATAATTAAAAATAGAAATTGTGTAAAAGCTTTATTTAAATTAAAAATATTTTATAAGTATTTTTTGATGAAATATGAATAAAATAAATACAAATGGGAAATGAAAGATCCGTACCAAAGCCAAAAAGACCAAGTCCCCCATTAACATAAAATCCATAAATTTCATATGCCAAACAAAAGAGACTAAATAATGCTGGCCATATACCAGTAAAATGCAAATCCAGTCAGCAGTCAGTGTACATTTTGTAACACAAGGGATAAACCTCATAGAACGTAAACAACCTCATGCATGTGTGAAACGTGCAATGTGGGTCTGTGCACGTACCAAAAAGACAAAACATGCTTTGAACAGTGTCGCAAAAATCCTTACTTTACTGAGTTTTTATATCCATTTATCTGAATGTTCTTATTATGTAGGTTCTTATGTTTTCACTGCACCCACAGATGAATGTGCAAGTGAAGATTTTTTTTAAATTCATATATTATTTGTCTTTAGGATCATAATATTCAATTTTTAGAGTTTTTAGTTAAAAAAATTATTAAAATAATATTTTGCACATCAAAGACTTATAAGGTATTTCTCCTGCCTTCCTAACGTGCCTTCGTGGTGTAGTGGTTCTGCACGCTGGGCTGGTATTCCAGAGGTCTGTAGTTCGATTCCCAGCGAAGGCGTTTGCTAATTTTTCATCTCTCCGGCTTATCCAATTATACCTAATGTCTTTACCCCGAACTAAAAGGGTGTTGGATGAGGGATTCTCCACACCTAGGATTTGGCGATTGGGTCCCCTAAAAACCGCAGTCACCCTTTAAAAGGGGGAGTATATAAGTATTTCTCCTGCCTTCCTAGTATGCCTTTGAGGTGTAGTGGTTCTGGTTCTGCACGCTGAGCCGGTATTCCAGAGGTCCGTGGTTTGATTCGGGATGTAGGCGTTTGCTAAATTTTCATCTCTTTGGCTTTTCCAATTACCCTAATGTCTCTACAGGGTTAAATCTTCATTTACACACGACTCAATCAATGTTTTCTTTCACATTCATTCCAAAGTGTACAGAAACTTCAGGTTAAATGTACCACCAGCAGGCATTTGTGTAAAGCACAAAATAAGCAATGTTCTTCCTAACCAGTATCCAACACATAAATAAGCTCTGAAAAATATTTTCCCAGCAGTCAAAATCACGTCAATCATGCATTACAACCAATCACGTCTCCATAACATCTAACGTAAATTATTCAGGTTACCATAAATGAAACAACAACTTAGCAATAATCCAAGGCGTACCCTAAAGTATAAACTACCCATATTTTTTTACAGATTTCACAACAGAGTATTCTAAAGGAAGTCTCTTTCTTTCAAATGCCAAACATCATTTGAGAAAATATGATTAAACATGCTGATGTGAACTTTACCCAGACAATATTTGTGGTGTTGGGAAGCTTTCATTAAAACCTGATATGCTATTTTGTGGATTTGAATATACTCAATATGAGAAGTAAATCAGATATTTCAGCTGAGATAATTGTAATAAATGGTGTTTCTGCTGAGAACCTGCTCAGTACAAACAACTGTAAAATTGTGATATTACAGTAAAATCACAATTGTTATCTTAGAAATGCCATGCAGGTATGTTTTTTAAATAATAAAATATTCCAGTATGCAGCCATTATTTCGTTAATTTTTGTTCTTTTTTTTTTTTATATTATTGTGTTTCATTTTTAGTGTCGATTTTTATTTAGTACTCAGTTTCTATATTAATTTCTAGTAATAAACAGATAGAAGTAATTTTATTTCATTAAATCGGTTATCAGAAACAAGCATGTGTAAGCAGCTGCGGGAAATCTATTATTTGCTTTTGGAAAGCATTTTACTTCATAAGGGTAGGTATTATATGTACCAAAGTGTAAATTATCAACTAATTGTGCAGAATCTCCCACTAATATATGTATTCAATCCATTGAACTAGTAGCATCTGAATGTCAAAATTTAGAAAAGTAGGCTAAATAAAAGCTTATTAATTTAGTATTTGTTTACATGATCAGTAAAATTTATGCTGTTGGCATAAATTGTAGCCTATGACCATGTTAGTAGATAACAAGTTGAGTAAAAGAGATTCTGTCAGATTTAAACACATTTAGCTCATGTGTCGAACATCTTGGATTTACTTACACATCCGGAGAAGATTAATGTTAGTGAAGAGGAGGTATTCAGGTATGAATGGACAATTCTGTTCCCATACTCTCTCCAGCTGATAATGATGAAATGATTGAACATGTACTGAGAAAGGAGAAATATGATGATGAAGAGTGGAATGATGATTAAGATATACACGCAGAGTTAAGAAAGTTACATGGAAGGATGATAATGAAAGATTCCAGACTTTCATAAGATTTCCCAAGAAATACTCGTCTGTGTCCATACATGATGTTGTGAAGCTTCATTGTATATACCATGAATTTTTTAAATTACTCTATATTCTTGTAAGCAAACAGACATTTGCAATTATATGCCTTCATCTTAAGAAATTCTTAACATATCACAGAAGAGGTCTTTTGCCATAGGAGTAAAGTATTTTACTCGCGCAAAACGGACTCAAGATCGAAAATTATTTTACAAGAACAGGTGAGAGCTGATCCAGATACCCGGGCTGCTTGCATAGATTAATCGGGTATTGCAACTATCTAAAGCTGCATACTCAAGTCAAAGTATTACATGGCCATAGAAGGGAAAAGTATGAGATTATTTGGCTTGCATTGCATAAAGTAGAATATGAAAAATACAGGTAACAGATCTGAAAACACAAAATACTCCATATTACTTTTTACATTATTCTAAATGTTCATTGTTGAGGAAATTTTACTGTACTCTAAAAATATACCCCCACCAAAAAAAAAAAAAAAAAAAAAAAAAGACTGCAGGAACTTATGCCTCATACTTCCATTCCTTGCTAGTGGATGGTGCAATGGATATTCAACAGCAAAACATGAAAGCAAGTGAGCAACAAGTGGACTGCCACTGCTAGTAGATGGTGCCATGAGTATTCAAAAGCAAAACACAAAAGGCCTAACGAACAAGCAACAAGTGGACTGTCCCTACGAGTAGATGGTGCCATGAGTATTCAACAGCAAAACGCGAAAAGCCTAGCGAGCAAGCAACAAGTGGACCACCACACGTTCTAGAGATATACATTTAATTACCCATAAAAATCTTACCCAAAATTGGTGTTGTCTCTTTGCAGCTAGTTAAAGGAAATTCTACTGTATATTTTTGATTCAAACTGTCATAAAGTGAAAATTAATTTCAACATAGGAATTGCTATTAAATATGGAAGAACCACTTTAACAAAATATTTGTTACAGTACAAAGTCCGTACTCATCGGGACTTCGGCGATCCGGATTCTGGGTTTTTCCGGATTATAGATCATCAATTTAAATATGGTAAGATGGCATGCAGAAATTATACAATTAAAAATATAAAACCATAATTTATGAAGTAAAGTGTATCAAATTTTACAAAAAAAAAGCTTAATATTTATTTGTTTACTTTATTAAACATTTCTTTCAAAGCATGCATGTGTAAAGCATACATTGTGCGCATGCGTAATGTATGCGCATTCTTTACGCGCATGCATAAAGTTTGTGGCTTTGAGGTCCAGATTATAGATCATTCTGGATAATGGACGTCCAGATTACGGACTTTGTACTGTATTTACTTATTTATTTGTATATGTGTAGATTCGACATCTATTTGAATTAATGCAATGAATAAACACTTTTATACAATAAATATATACTTAAATTAGAGACAAATATTTGCTTAGAAAGTGCAAACACAACTGACTGTTACGTCTTTAGAAATCTAACTTGCATCATTGCCAGTTTAGAAAAAGAATTCTTTAAAACATGTTTATTGACATGAAAGTTGTAATATTGCCATGTTTGGCTCCTTCATAATTTTTGTCCTGAAAGTCCCCCCTTTTTCGTCTTTTGCAATGCCATCGATATTATATCATCAGCATTATTAATATGATTGACATCTAACTCAAGTTCATCATTTGAGATATCTAACTCACAGTCACTGTTCATGTGCTAAGAAATATGGGAAGTTTTTGTTGGCTCTTTCTTTGGAGCTGAAAAAAAGTATGAGAAGAGAGAAAAAATAAGAATAAGTATTCTTTCAGGATTAATTGAAGTAGAATTTGTTTATTGCAGACTTCCAGACTGTGGTTTCAAATGCAGTCAAAGTTATGTTAAAACCTTCATCATCCGTTGGGGCGTTCCTAGTGTGGGTGCAACGAGTAAAAGTACACATGCAGCCAAAATCAGGGGCACGTGGACTCTCGTGATACCACGTCTAAATATTTTAAATTAATTAAATTCATTGTAAGTACTTTTTATACAGTTTGTCCTATGTAAGTACTTAGTGAGTATGAAATAAAAATTTTAATCATTGAGCTTTTTTTTAAATGTAGGGGCAGCAATCTTAGGAAAATATGCAGGCAGCCAATGGTCTAGGAACGGCCCTGATGATTGTCAATCTTTATAATGGCTTCGCTGCTTTAAGATGATAAGGTCCAAAAAAGTATCAGTAATAATTTTAATCCTGAGCCAAATTAGGTCCTTTGTATTATATCTAAATTGTCAACTATATATGACTGGGCCTTTTCCTCTTGCAGTTGAACTACTGTATAATATCTTGTAAATTCCAAGTGTTCTTTTTTTAACTAAATTTTAAAAATGTTAATTATACTTTTAATTTCTTTGCATCTACTTTTTACGCAGCAGTATCTAAAATATCAGAATACGAAACTTTGATTTTTTTTTTTTTTTTTTTTTTGTATAATTAATTATAATGTAAGTTTTATAGATAGAAGTTCTTGCATCTCCTTTTTTTAATTCATCATGAAGCATCTTGAGGAAACCTTCAGATTTTAGAATCTTCTCCAATTCAAATTTCTTTTCTTTAGATATTTTTACATGTTTAGCAGATGTTTTCACTTTTACTTGTTCAGCATTCTTTTGTAAACTTTGTTTAAAATTATTAATTTTGTTTTTCACAAATGTCGAATAAATGGTCTTTTTAAAATATGGAGCTCTATAAAGCTTTATCCTCTCAGGATTCAAGCAATCAACAGCTTCGATAAAACATGTATTCCATCTTCCATTATAGAAATATATAGCATATTAATTACATCAATGCCATTAGCTATATTGTTGCACAAATTACCAACCTCAGTGTAGATGATACATTCATCAATCAATGTTTCACAAATAAAGGAACATGTAGAGGGAATTGCTTTTTCTTCATCTCCGTAACCCTTAGCCAATATGCACATGTAGCCTACGTGGATATTTAACCCACACAGACACTTAAGTGATTTGACACTCAGCTCACATGCACTTTAATAAATAAAAGCTTTCCTTCCTTATTTAGAACTTTCTTGATATAAAAGTGTGAAAAAATTGCAAAATGAAATTAGTAAAAAATTATAAAATTTAGAATATCTAATTAAATTTTAGTGTATTTTATGTCAGCATCATATTATAAATAATTCTGTAATTTCATGCGTTATATAATGAATTCAAGTTAGTTTGAGGTTTTTTAAAATGGCATTGCATTGCAGCATGAAAAACCTCCTAGAAACTCCAGATTTTAGGTGCAAGAACCCTCTAGTTTTTCATATTTCAAGTTTGGTGGTAGCTATTGTATTGCTCTGTTCCACATTTTTATTTATTTATATTTTTTATGATTTTGTTTATGTACTTCTGTTTCATTTATATCTTTGTGTGTCTTCTATTCCTATCAGCAGTGTTAGTACATTATTATATGAAAATTATGAAAAAGTTTTTCTTTTCTTCATGGCAGATACTTTTTTGAAAAAAGAGAACTATTTTGAAAAAATCCTGTGATTGTAATACTGTTATTTTTTTTTTTTTTTTTTTTTTTCAGTAATGTCAAAAATATAACTAAATTAAATGAAACTGAATTAGCAAAAGGAACAATTGACAAGAAATCATGGCATGATTTGTACAAAGATAGTGCTTGGATTTTTATCGGCGGATTAGCATATGGTTTGACTGAAGGTGATATTATCACAGTGTTTTCTCAGTAAGTTATTGTGATTTTTTCTTTCATTTTTCATGCAGGATTTGTCGTAAAAATTTTGTTTTCATGTGGTCAGAATTAGAGTTAAATAATCAAAATAAAGGCATGGTGTATCCAAAGAGATACTTTGTTGGTTATATGTATTTATAAATTAAAAGAAATTTTGTTTTTGCTAAAATTAGGCCAAGTTTTGCCTTCTATTATACACTAAATATAAAAATGATTTATTCCTTTATTATCAAAATAGGTATAAAATATTGGATAGGTTAAATAACAAGAATCAGTATAATGTTTGTAAATGTTTCAAACATTGTTTGTAATTGTGATGATTTTTGTTGTTTTAACTTCTCCGGTAATCATTATTTGATGTGTAATTTTAATCTTTAGTTATAGGTATCAGATAGTTGAGTCACCATATGTAACATGTAACTAAAATTTTTTCCATTTTAATGCATTGTAAATTTACATCTCTTCTGTGTAATCTCTTCTTGTCTCATTTATTATTAGCACAATTCTTAAATGTGCTGTAAATATTACTCTTTGTTACTTTAAAATGAGCAAAGGCCATTTCTCCTTAATCTTTCTAAATTTTATCATGACTATGGCAATGTCTGTCACCAGGAAGATAAATTTCATATGTTCTCTTTTTCCCTTTCCTGTATTTCAGTGTGGTTGTAGAAAAAAAATTATGTAAGTAGAATTCTGAATTATTTCAGCAATTAAAAAAAAAAAGGAGCATTTATGTATTAGCGCAACCCCATTGCTGTAATTTTTTTACTATAAAAAGACTTTTATAATTGCAAAAATTTATTTATTACATACATGTTTTATGTTTTAGATGGTGTTTGTCTTTAATAACTATTAAATATACTCCCGAGCTGGTTTTAGTATATTTTATCCTAGTAGAAATTTCAGGACAATCATTTTAAGAATAGCTGTAAATCAATTGTTCCATGTAGTGATTTTGTGGTAAAATACTATCAATAAAAAAATTTAGTGTAGTTTCATCCATTTTCTAAAATTTATTATGTGCTCTGTCATCAGGCCCCTTCAGAGAGGGATGCCCTGTGGACGACTTTCTAAGAGAAACTGACTCATATCCATGTTACATGTACAAAAACATATCCACGTCACACATGGGGAAAACCACAAAAAGCCCAGATGACCAGCCTCATTTCCAGGATTCAGACCATGAACTTAACTCCAGTGTTCAGCAGCTTTTACTGCTTGGCCACTAACGGGAAGTCGTTTGTTTGAGCAAGTTTTGCAGTTTCTTCCATTGCTCACAAATCCTACACACATACATTTTGAAATTGAATATAAGACAAAAAACATCACATCCAGTCTGTAAAAATCATTGGAACCTAGAAGATAATCAAAAGAACTTATATAAAAACCTGATGTGTACATCACGACTTCCTTGTACAGAATTATACGCATTTCATTTAAACATGTTTCCTCGAATTTCATTAGGGTTATATTTCTCATTCAAAATAATTCAGTTTCCATATGACGGCAAGCAAAAATACGTAAAAACTCAAAAATGACTTCATTAAAATTGAAAGATATAGAAAAACATAAAACACCAAATTCAGTTAAAACAATTTTTACAATCAAAATTACAGTTTCTATGCAAAAGCAAACAATTCGGCCAGCAAGGAAATTTTTCAGTGCATGAAACTAAGTTTCCTTTTTGTCCCATTAGATAAAAAGACACTGAAGATGCAGAAAGACTTAATTCATTATTCTGCTAATTTTCAAATGCAAACAAATATGACTGCTATGGTTTAAAAATAAAATTAGGCTTAGCGGCACTTAAACAACTTATAAATTGTTGATAGTTCTACAACTATTGCATGCAAATTAATTAAAGGCGTAAAAACCTTAACTGGAAGGTAAGAATAACATAGTTCAATTCTTTTTAAAGCAAAAAATGCACAATTTACTAAAATATAAATATACAGTACAAAGTCTGTAACACGGACTCGGCGGGCAGCGATTCTGGATTAGGGGCTCTTCCGGATTTTAGATCATCAATTTAAATCTGGTAAGATGGCATGCAGAAGTGATACATTAAAATACCATCATAATTTATAAATAAAGAACAGTTTATGATCTAAGGGTATCGAAATTTACAAAAAAAAAAAAAGCTTCTATTTGTTTACTTTATTAACATTTCTTTCAATGTAAGTTGTTAAGATGCTTCCACAAAAAATTCAAAAGTTCCTTTTCTGGTGTCATATATATGGACTTTCCAATGCCATACTTCTCGCATAATTTTGAGACGATAGGCCTTTATCCATTTTTTTTTGCAGCATTCCACTTTTTATTTAATGGTCATCGAAACATGCTTCGCTTTATAGATCCTTTGGCAGCCAAATTGGAAACTCTTTTGACATATCGAAAGTTCATGCTTAATTTTTATAAAATTGTTCTAACAGTCTGCAACAATAATAAGCCAGATCCAATTAGAAGATTAAGGAACAGAGCAATCTGCAACATTAATAATGCTTAATAATTTTAGTCTAGCTTATACCGTCCGTTTACATTAAACGCGCATGTGTAAATAAAGGTTTTTAGCTTTGAGGTCCAGATATAGATCATTCTGGATTATGGATGTCCAGATTACAGACATTGTACTGTAAAAAAAAAAAAAAACTGAGCTAAATGAGCAAGTAGCAGAGTGAGTATATATATATGCACTTTTGGTGTGGGCAACCAAAATAGAGGTGCACAAGTACATGTTATAGCAGTCCTATATACAAAATTCAGTGTTCTGAGGCTACTTGTTTTCGATTTATGCAAGATACATACGTACATCAGACACCATGAAAAATATCTTCTCAATCCATTTTAAGTGAGTTTTATACTTTTTGTTTAGGGAAAAATTCTTTTTCTTTTCATGTAGAGCCTATGCAAAAACATTGTTAAATTGCATTCGATACAGTCAAATGAATCTGTTGAAATATGATACCTGAATTTTTTTTAATTAGAAACTCCGTACCTATACAAGGAAGTAAAATTACAGTGTTACTCATACAAATGAAGAATTATTTCTCATGATTGCGATAATTGGCATTTCTACTAAGGGTATTCTCAATCTGCGACTAATAACTTCATGATGCCAGCATCAGTTTATTTCTAACTACAAAAAATTTAAAATGCATTCTTTGATTTTACAGGAACAGTTTATACTAGATACCTTATACCCACATACATCACATACATTATACACACATACATACATACATACATACACATACATATCTATATCATTTACTGATCCGGTCCTGATACAGAGTAGTGTCTGTCATTTCTAAAAGAAAACTGAAAAATTATAGCAATTAACTGTTGGGTTTAATTTTTCAAGAAGTTAGTAAAACATTGTAAAAAGTTATTTCATGACATTTAGACATATGTGTTATTTGCAGAATCGATTTTATAGAAATTTTATTTTAAGTAGTATGATGAGCATCGATTTTTTAAATAGGGTATTCATTATAGCAACCAGCCAAATTCACATAAATTGCCAAATTTGGCGACCTACTTCGGCACCCTACTGTTATACGTAGTTTTGTAAAGAGATGTGGAGATTCAAAATTTTCCTGCATTTCATGCAAATTTTAGTAGTTTAGGAGAAATAGCAGTTGTGCAATTCTATTTTAAAGTAAATAAGTCGACGTGTACATGGTTGGCGAATACGATTTTCAATCAGTGCAAAAGCAATAGCCAAAAGATTTCCGCCGAAAAAATTTCTGCAACTTATTCAAATTCGAAACCGAAGGGTTAATGGCTATTTTATATTTAAAACAAAATAGAAAAACTGTATTAAAATTATCTATAGAATAATTTACATTTTTCTTTCTATCATACTTTTTTACTGACTTACAAATAGCGCCAACCTGGTTGATAATACGTAAGTACCAACATATGTTACACTTAATATAAAAAGTAATTTTTAATTTTGTCTGCATTTTTTTACATTTTTTTTATATCATTTTTTATTATCATAACATGCTTCATACCCTTCTGAGACCCCCAAAACATCATCTTCAAGTTGGATCACTTCAGAAGTGCAAATGATTATCTATGATTTTAATGCACTAATTTAATCATGATTTTAATTGGAATTAAAATCATTGGCACTTAGTGTAAGGATCATATTCTACTTTAATCTTTCTATTTATCTATTAAACATAAAGAAGTGTTAAAGTATTTTCAATATGAGCTATGACCACTTTGTTTTTATTTTAATTATATGTTGCAAAGTTAATAGTGCCATTAAAAAAAAAAGGGAAAAAAAGAAAAGCAAAAATTTTCCTTTGATCTAGATTCCATTTTAACTACTTCAGTTTTTTCATGTATAATTATAAAAATTTATTTTATTTTATAGGTATGGTGAAATTGTGAATATTAATTTAGTTAGAGACAAGAAGACTGGAAAAACAAAGGGATTCTGCTTCCTTTGCTATGCCAATCAAAAAAGTACTGTATTGGCAGTTGACAATTTCAATGGGATAAAGGTGCAAATATTTTTTTTTCCATATAATTATTTTTTATGTGTTTCTCATTCTTTTGCCTAAAGTTCCTACTAATTTGTTTTCTAGGTTTATATGCCAATTGTTCAGTAGCAAGTAAAATACATTTTTAATATTACTTGATTAACATGTAACTTTTAAAAGCTTGAAAATTATAATGAATCCTGTCTGATATTCCCACCCCTGGTACCAGATTACTTTAATCCTTTGGGTAGGCATTGTTCTTGGAGGAAATTTTTTGTCGCATGAAATAAAAAATTCATGCGACAAAAAATATCCAAATATTAACTATGCTTAATTTTTTTTTAAAAAGTGTATTTTAACTGTTTTTCTCAAAATAATATGACTAAAGGTTTTAATTACAAAGTGAAAAAAAACCCTTAATTTTTCTGAAATATTATAAAAGATCAGTATTTTAAAATATGAAAAGCAGATGTCATTATGAATGATTATGCTGAAATATTTTCTCCAGTATAGAAATACGTATACCATAATTCAAATTTTCTTAGTATGGGCATATAACAATGAAAATATGCATCAAATAGATCTTAAAACTGCATTTTTGCCTGGAAAATTAAGTAAAGATTTATGTGTGGAATAATCAGAAGGATTAAAGTTCCAAAAGGAAGAAATAAAGTTCATAAATTAAAGAAGTTGATTTATGGTCTCGAACAAACACCTAGGTGGTGGAATTAAAAATTAGAAATGTTAAAAAATATTAGATTCAATCAAAGGAAAGCTGATCTGTCTCTTTTCACAAAAGGGAATCATGACAAAAAATTAAACATCAGTGGTGATATTCTAATAAGTATTAAAGAAAAACCATTAATTCTACATGTTGTCAACAATTTTAAAAAACACTTTAAAATAAAGTTAAGTATTTCTTAGAAATGAAAATAAATTGGAAAGAAGACAGGGTTCGTACATATTTCTGCACACAGAAATTAAGTACTTTTAAGGACTTTTAAGGACCATTCATGAAAAAATTAAGGACCTATAAGCAAATGGGAACTGAATAAATTCAATTAAAAATATTATCTATGCTGAACTTCACTTTTGTAATACCACCCTAAAAATAAAATAGATCCATAAGTAGGATGCATTAGTATTAAATATAATTATTGTAAGTTTGAGAATAAAATAAAGTTTATGAAATTTATCATTAAATATTTTACCCTCATACTAACTGGACATATTTGAAAAAAGATAAGTGACATTTTATTTTTTTTATTTTTTTTTTTTTTTAATCTCATTTTGTCACACACTCGCTCACTCATGAGTTTAGTAAATAGTAAGTAGATTTTATGTCAAGTGTCATAGGTTAAAGTGAGAAATAAAATCACAATTAGCATGATTCAAAACAAAAGACTGGCTGTCGTCACCGTTCCTGCTTGCCTAGGAGAGACCTTATGATCAGAACAAATCTTAAGGGCTGATGTAAGCTCAGTTTGCAATTTCGAAAGTTAGCTGAGGTCTGTCTGACGCAGTTAGTGTCATAGCTTCTTGTAGAGTTCCAGGGATTGTAACTCAGTTAATATAGTTTAAGGTCCTAATAATCCACTAAAGCACCAGAGGTGACAAGTTGTTTTGCATTACTTTAAGTCTCACTGGATGCAAAGAATAGGTTTTACATGAATTTTTACATTTTTGTGTTTTATCTTGTGACCACGATAAGGGTTAATGAAAGGCAATAACTCGCTTTAAAATGCAGAGATAATCTTTAAAGGTAACCAGTTAGTTATAAGTAATTAAATTGGGTATTAGATAACCTTAGTCATTATGGATTTACATGGCCACTATTAAATTTTATTTATTTTTTAACAATATTTGTTAAAAAAAGCCTTATTAAATCACAGTCTAATAAAATTTCACAGTTTAAAAAACATGTAATTTATGGCATTGATTTTTCAATGATATTAGGATAATTACATATTAAAAGCTACAAAATATAAATATTTTGTAGCAACACTCAACAAGATATTTATGCGTCTTTTTAATTTGAAGCCTTCCTAGACATTTTGGCAAATTTATATCAATTTCCTTCTCTTTAAGCATCTTTTCTAATAGTTAGAACTTTGTATCAATACACAAGACAGTGTTCTCACTAGTTTCTACGTTTTGTATCTCCTAACCTGTCAACCTCTCCAAAATGTACCTATGAGGGTTTACTTGATCTGGTAAAAGTTAAATAGTCCAAAACCCTCCGGACAGATGTGAAGCAAATTATCGCTTTATCTGAAAGTAACTACAAACATTTAAATAAGCTTCTATTAAAAAAGAAGAACACAAAGCATGTTCTTATGCTAAAAAAATCAATTACAGCTCATGGTGATGTAATTAAACAAGAAGAATCAAATGCAAACTAAAAATATGGACTAGTCATCAAAGATTATACAATTTAATTTCATTTTAAGCTGACTCAGTAACTCTATTGTCATAACAAATTCAAATGTCGGCAGCGGTTATGTAAAGACGAATAATTGCAAATTATCGTGGCTGGCAGGAACTAATGCAGGGAGCAAGTGGAGGTCAGAAACACATTCTTGTCTTACACTCCAAAAACCTCAGTTTAAAAACTGTTTAACTGATTTGCGTTCTGGTGAGAAAATGGAAATGGGAAATTATAGTAAAGGCTGAAATTGTAAACAACTGGGTAATTTACATAATAATATCTGTAAATTTCTTTGAAGAATAATTTTCCTTTCTCTTAATGTATTCAGTTTTTTTCTTCCACGTTTCCTTTTTATTTTAGAGTTTTTGGATTTAATTAAAGATTTCTGTTTATCTAAAAATACTAAATGCATTTAGAATGTATAGAGAAAGCTGCTAATTTTTATAGTAATAGGAACATTCGGAAGAAATATGCAATATATATGGTAAGGTCCAGCTACAGAGCTGGTGTGGCAGAATTTTTTTGAATTTATTCACACATCGAGCAGCAAAATCTAGAAATGTCAAAAGTTTTAGAATTTAGAACAGGCATTGGAAGCAAAATTTGCAAAGATACCAAGCAGCACAATTTAGTGTGTATGATGCATTAAGACATATTAGACGAATCGTTTAAATTGTCAGTTTTCAATTTCTTTATTAATAAAAAATTATTTTCTATAATGCCTGTCCGTATGATAAGATTAGAAGCATTTTTGATATTTTATGCTTGGGTCTATTGAAAAATAAAGAAAATAAAGGGAAGATAAAAATGTTAAGAAAACGATTCTAGTATCAGAACTAAAACATTCAACTATTATGTTTTTTTGCTCTTCCAGATGTTCTCCAAAAAGTAAGAAATTATGTATTAATACCATAGAAATTTTGCCACATTTTTCTGGAATCTTCCAGAATAGTGGGTCTATAAATCCTGCCTTCAAATCTTTCTAAGCTGCAATGTCTCTAAAATCCTAAAGAAAAATTACCCCTGCCAATTCAGTAACAGCAAAAAGCCAGAAATATTTTTTTTTTTTTTTAAATCGGATAAAAAATGTGTAAAATTAATTTTATAGAGAAAACTGACGCATATTCTGAGACAATTACATGAGGAAACTCTTACCAGGAAAAAATTAAAAAGAAATTTTTAATTAATTACATAGCTATTTTGCTTTTGCTAAGAACCATTTCGTAAATTGTGCTTTATAAGCATTATACCTTGCTTATTTTTCAGATTCAAAATATTGTATAAAAAGTGGCCAAAATGAAAACTTTATAATACGACAGCAAAAATAAAAATGCTTTATTTTAATGTTATTTCATAAATGTAATTACAATATATTACCATTATTTTAATGAAACTTTACAATGTTTTAAAAAAATCGTTGAAAAATTCCCTAATCTCGGAATTAAAAATTTTCTGTAAAAACTTATCTTAAAATCGCCAATGTTGATAAGTCGCCAAATTTAGAGCAATTTAATAAAAGAATTCATGTCCCCAAAAGCGAAAAGTTGTTTAAGAGCTCTTCACTAGAAAAAATGAAATAATTTCGAATGCTTTATGTTTCATACTTGCTCAGAAACCCTATCCCACCCTTTATATTAGAAATAGGAACAAATTATAACCCATGAACGCATTCACCCATTCAAAAGATAATGATATTTGTCAGAGAACTGCCAAAAATATTCCTCTAAAATGCTAATTCACACTCAAAATGGCAGTCGTAAAAACAGTCAAAAATTTCAGATGATTAAAAATTAAGGACCTTCTGACGATTTTGGCCGAAATGAAAGACTTTTAAGGACCAAAAAACTTAAGGACTCTTAAGGACCATACAAACCCTGGAAGATAGATGTTATATCTCAGAAAATTAAAATAAGCTAACTTGTCAAGTAGTTTCAACTCCATGAAACAAGGCCTGCTATTACATGCACGGAAGCAAATTATACATTTTCTGATTATCCACATCCTCCCAAAAAGTTGTGAACTCATTTGCAGATTAGAAAATAAATGTTTGTGTATATTTACATCTGTTATAACAGTACATCTAGTGCTACCTATTTCTTATACATTCTTTTTTTTATAAGATATGCATGCTTCTCGCAGTTGTTTCATGTACATTTCTCACGTACCTATCAATAGTTGTGTTTTGGGATAATTCCACTTCTCAGAATTTCAGTGACATACATTTCTTTCCCCAACAATAAATAGGTGAATGCGTGTTGAAATGAGATACTGTGTCTTTAAAGCAGTTTCCAACCATTATTCTAGCACTTTGCTTGTAATTTCTGCAACTGTATTTCCATAAAATTTTATCATTTAAAAAGTACATTTTCAAAGAATATGAATTTTTTTTTTCATTCTCTATTTTTTCGGAAAAGGTTATATTTCTGAAGAAATGCAACACTTTCATCAACTAGTAAACTTCTGAGCCCCATTATGATTCATTATGACCAAAATAAGCATACTCAATGCAGTGAAAAACTTCTAATCAGAAAAATGACTGCAAAATTTCAAATTTATATGTATTCAAAACATGTGCTACACACGTACTTTACCA